CCCAGGCCGAGCCGACTCGCGGGCGGGGCGCGGGCGCCCCCTGGTGGACGCAGAGGGCAGAGCGTGCCGAGTGTCCCTTTTTCTTAACAGTCAGGACTGTTTTTTCTTTTTTAACATGAGCCAGGACCTCACACATGCTAGGCAAGCGCTCCCCACTAAGCGACAGCCCCAGCACCACCTTATTTATCTATCGATATGGAGACTCTCCATGTGGGTCAGGCTAGCTTGGAACTCAGCGATCCTCCTGCCTCAGCCTCCTGAGTGCTAGGCTTACAAGCGCGCGCCACCACGCCGGGCCCGGCTCTTTTTTAATCAAAACAAAAAAAGCCCTTACAATGTTGAAATCCATGCCCGTGAATTGCTGCCACCACAGGTGTGTGTCCCAAGGGTGAGGAAAAGCAGGGGGTGCTGTCCCCACCTGGGGAGGCCTCCGCCGAGCCTGCAGTCCCCGCTCCCCTCAGAGACCCGGATGAAGGTACGTGGGCGGTGGCGGGCACCCCAGCCTGCGTTCCCAGGAGCATGCAGCGCCCTGAGGCCTCGCTCCCTATGCTTCTGTTCTTAGGTTCGGGTGGGCGACCCGGGCTGGGGACAGCGTCCTCGTCCCGCAGCTGCACAGACACAGGGCTTGCTCTGCCCTGGGCCCCGGAAGCAGCTGGGAGGGGCCTCGCTCCAACGCCCCTCCCCGCAGTGAGGCTCTGGGGCCGGAAGTGGTAGAGCAGGACTCGGGCGGGAGTCCTACTGGAGCTTTCCCATCACCCCAGCACTGGGGAGGACGAGGCAGGAAGATCGCTGCGAGTTCGAGGTCAGCCTGGGCTACATAGTGAGCTCAACGCTGGCCTGAACCACGTTCCCAGACCCAGTCTCAAAAACAACAAAAAGACACTCGGAACCGAGCTGGGGGAGACCGCGTTCTGGGGTTGCACCCGCGGGTGTTGTCTGACCCGCCTGTGAGCACCAGGGCGCTAGCTGTCCATGCTGTGCTGCCGAAGCCCGAGAGGGTGAGGCCCGCCTCTCCTCCCCAGCAACCCTGCTCTCACCCCATGCGACCCGCGAAGTGGGGGTTCACGGGAAAACAGACAGGAAACAGGGGACGGCTGATTGGTGCTATTTCTGTCCCACTTTCCCGGGTCACAGGAAACCACAGCTCCAAATCTCAGTAAATTCTCCAGACCGAACTGACCTTAAGAAAGTCAGCCACCAGCCGGGCATGGCCGCACACGCCTGTAGTCCCAGCACTCAGGAGGCTGAGGCAGGAGGATCGAAAGTTCAAGCCCACCCTGAGCAATTTAGCAAGACCCTGCCTCAAAAAAATAAAGGGCTTGGGATGTCCTGCAGTGAAAAGGGCCCAGGCTCAACCCCATAGCATGAAAAGGGGAGGGTGAGACAGAAGGCTGAGTGAATGCAGGTCCGGAGATGCGTGGGTGGAACCTGGGGCCGGCAGTCGCACACCGGGGGCTTTCTGGGGGGTTGTTTTTGCAGTACTGAGATTGAACCCACGCCCTTCCAACTAAGCTATAGCGCCAGTGCTCTTCTTATTTTTTAAATTTAAAACAGGGTCTCACAGGCCGGGGATTTGGCTCAGTGGTTCCACTGCCTGCCTAGCAAGTGCAAGGGCCGGGCCGGAGTTCAATCCCTGGTACAAAAAAACAACAAACGGGGTGTTACTAAGTCACTGCATTTCCTGGGCTGGAATTCGAGATCGTCCTGCCTCAGCTTGCTGGCTGTATTATTCTTTGTGTTGAAGGTCGCTGGGCCCTCACGTCTGACAAGACAGCAAATATGGCGAGCCATTACGGTGAGCCTTGACACGGGCCTAGCCATGATTGAACTTTGAGTCACCTCGCTGGCAGGGACGTGCTCTCGCCCATAGCCACGGGCGAGTTCAGCTGGTAGCAGATGTAACCCATAATGGTGGTTATTGTTTCCCTCTGGAATGTGTGGGCGGTACTCTTGCTCCCGTGCAGCCCTCGCTCCCGTGCAGCTGGAGAGTATAAAAGGAAGAGGTTTTGTAATAAAGCAAGCAACGAACGTGAGAAGGAAGGTGCCTCTCGTCTCTCTGTCCTCGTCCTTTCAGGTTTAGGACCTGCTGGCAGGATCCTGACGTCGCGGCTCGCGACAAGCCAAGGTAAATGTTAGGTGCTGGGAACAAACCAAGCATCACCGAGCTACACCCTGGCTGCACAAGAGCTTTCCTTATTTGGAGATAGGGTCTTGTTATGTAGCCCAGGCTGGCCTCGAATTCAGTGATCCTCCTGCCTCAGCCTCCAGGTGCTGGGATCACTGGGTAAAGGGGATGTTTCTAAAACAATATTCAAAGTGGTCAAATTCTCCTCTCCCCAAAGTAGCAGCAAAGCCTACGACTGCAGGCAGAAACGCCAGGGTTCCCGAGGGCCTGCATCCATGGGGCAGCTCTAGGCGGGCCACGGAGGAACAGCCCGTGTGCACCCGCAGGTGAGCTGGGCTCGAGCCCGACCGTGTGTGGCCGTTGGGCCCAGGCTGCTCCCAGCTTAGCTGGGCTCCCTGCCCCTCCCGGCCTGGCCTGGGTTCCCCTAGCCCCTGGGGTGAATGCAGTGGCAGCGGCGCAGGCAGCGGTGACAACAGGGCTGCAGGGATGCATCTCTTTATTGTGACTTCACACACAGCCACGTGGCCCAGAGCTCGGCCACAGGGTGGCGGCACAGGCGGCAGCAGCAGGGACGTCACCCACCCCAGCGACAGCTGCTCCCGGGTCCCCACCGGCACCCATAGGTCTGGGGCTTGGTCCCCAGAATGGCCTGGCCAGGCTCTGGGCCCCAGCGCTCCTGTGGCCACAGCCTGCTCCAGGGCCCA